GAGGGAATGTCCCTAATATTTTCATAAGGATTCCTTGTTTACAGAGATTCCTTAGAAAGCAACAATTCGATTGAACAACTAATGACTTGGCAATATTAAGTCACATGACATTACATCGCTTGTGGCATCTTGGGTAACCTCGCCCCAGTGTCGTGACCGTGAATTTATACGTAGCGTGCGTCGATTTGAAATTAAAGTCATTCCTTCCTCAAGTTCATTCTCTTCTAAAGGAGTCCAACTGCGCGTTTTATTTTCACTGAAGAAGAGGAGTGAACACATTTGTCAAATTTCATTGTACATATTGAAGAAATAGGAAGCCGTACAAATTTTCGCATTGATTAGGTTTGGATGTAGGGTTTTGCTTGTACAAAAATTGTGCGCCTCGATTGCGATCCGTGTCATTTGCCTTCCGGTTATCACTGAAGTCATTGTACATTTGTCAGCCGAGAGTTTTTTTGAGACAGTCGAGGGGACAGCTGATTGAACTTAACGTTACCCTTCATTTAAATTCACCGAACTGTCTCGGAGTTTAAACTTTCACCATTCGTACTGTCTCCTTCATGATGACTAGCTATGGTCACAGATTTGACAAGTTTCAATTTCCAGAACCTTTCGCTACATTCCTTCGTGTCCAATTCTGAAGAATGTTTCTTTCGCACCGATATGAATTCCTTTTTTCCTGCGAGAATGGTCCATCTTGCAAAGTTCTTTTTCTCAAGGAAATACGAAATACGAATCCTGCCTTAAGGGTATCTGGAAAAGCCGAATAGCGAATAGCGAATAGTCGCGAATAGCGAATAGTGCGAATGGTCTCGAATAGTACAAATAGTGGCGAACAGTCTCGAGTAGTGGCGAACAGTGGCAAATAGTGGCGAATCGTAGCAAATAGGGTACCCAGTATCTCGCAGTCAACCTCGCAGCAACATGGGATGGGATTTTCCCGCTAAAAAGCGCAGACGCTTATCAGGACAAAAGGTGTTTCTAAACCGTAATTTCTTCTGTTTTAACCGCTGCAAAAGCGTAAATACGTCTTTATTAGGTAATTCTTGTGTTTTCTGTTTTCTTAATGTCGGCAATGGACAGCCCTAGCCTGAGTCTGGAGAAGAAAAGGTGATAAATTCACTGAAATTCTGTTGCTTATTTGGATAATTAATTAACGCAGGATATTAGATCTAAAGCGATGACTATCGACGACTATTCGTCACTATTCGCCACTTTTTGCGACTCTTCGCCACTATTCGCACTATTCGGGAGTATTCGGGACTATTCGCTATTCGCTGTTCGCGACTATTCGCTCTTCGCTATTCGCGACTCTTCGCTATTTGCTATTCGGGTTTTCCAGACACCCCTACCTTGATACATTGCAATTGTTTATATACTGTATAGAAACCTTACAACTGGTTATTTTTAACCAACTGGCATGAAGATTAAATTTATTTATATTTAATTAAAACAAAACAGATTTTTTTTCAACACTGCAACTGCATTCGTGTTAATTCCAATTTTGATGGCGTATTCCCTTAGAGGGACCAAACTTTTTAACCCTTAGCGAAAGAGAGCTCGTCGATTTATAAATTTGAATCGGAAGGATTATGTTCCAAATTAAAGATCGAAATTTAGATCGAGGGGTTGCGTAGCAACACATTCTGGCAAGATGACGTCAATTGAAATGTCAATTTTCGTAACACACTCGTGCAATGTTCGTTTTAGATATTCGGGATTCGGAAAAGCCTTCGGTAACGTGTTTTTTTTTTTCTTCTTAGCTTAGCTTTAACTGAACTTAAGTTTTTTTTAAATAATGTGGATTTTTTACAACAATCTTGGCTGCTATGTAGCTGTCACTTGGTACAGAGACGTAAGTCTCGCATGATTGCATTCGGGGAAGGACTGTCTTAGATTATCATGATTCGGGATTTGAATTGTGTGGGTGAATTATAGATGACGTAGCTTTAGGTTAAATTATGTTCCTTTGGGGTGGCGTCACCGTCCATTATTTTTACCGGTAAAATAACTCGTAGCGTGTTTATGTAAACGTCTCGAATGCTTGTGCTACAAGTAGACACCTCTTTGATCGCTAAACGAGAGAAATATTTCCTTGATTAGTTGACCGGTGGCTGTGAAACATCGAAATTAAAAACACTCGCGATTTACGGCGTTAAAGATTTTTGTGACGTCACTACTAAGGAAGTTAATTTTTAAGGGTGGTTTTCACGTTAAATAGCAAATCCAGTCAGAGAGCCAATCACCAAGTGACAAGAAAACGCTAATGCTCTCTGATTGGTCAATGCATTAGACCCACGTGGTCAGGTGTTATGTCCAATCTAAAGCTTGAACCCAGAAATGTCGTAAAAATATAGTATTTTTAAAAAGTATTTCTTTTAAATTTCTAATGTTACTGGAAGACCCTCGAATCTGATTTGCTTCTCTTCGCTATCAGGGAAGTTTTGGTAACGAATTGGCCCTGCGGCGATCATAGCTTCGCCTGATTTCAGTGTTTTCCTGAAATAAAGCGTCCAAAGGGAAAAAGCAAAACGGTTTTTAACAGATGCAAGGCACTCGAAGACGTGTTTTGTTTTTGTTTCAGTTTTAAGTTGTTCGAGTTCAAATAGATTTACTATTGAAGCAATGGCAATAGTTTCACTCCACAATATCAAATCTAGGAACTGAAGTCGCTTGGTTTTAATTTGCATGCATTGGTCTTATTGATTTGTAGATTGTTTCTTTTTGTAAGTTTTAATAGAAGGTTTGCGTAGTTGAATCAAGATGAAGAAATAAACAAAGGAAACAACGAATTCAGTTACAGCTGTAATGACTGTTGTTGTATGTCGCCTGCCTGCCTGCCTTGCCTTTTTTTTCCGGGTGGGTCCTCTTTCCGAATCGATTGAGAATTTGAACTGTTGAGTTTTTGAACTCCCTCAAGCAGAGAGGAGAACCAACAATACATTTAACACACAACATATCCCCCGAGCGGTATTGAACCTACCCAAATACTCCACTCCCACTCCCCGAGGGAAAGAACGTTTCGCGGCGACCCAAACGAATGGGCAGCGAACAAGTTTAGGCTCGATTACCAGTCGCCGCTCGAGAAGGGAGTCCGCGCTCCTCCCCCGAACTCACTCGGGGAGGAACGTAGACCAGACTCCAGTGAGCGGCGAAAATCGAACCTAAGGAAGAGTTATTCCTCGAATAAATTCTTTAGGGCCTTATTTAAAATTCCCATATAGAGACCCGACATTTATTCCGTGGAACATACGCTTAATCGAAAAAATACGGCATTTAATTACTACCTTTGGAGTCCACATGCAAACAACTTAATTTTCTCGACATTTTGTAATATTAAAACCCCGTCTACTCTACGCTGGAGAAATTTGAAGACGGAGGTCTTACTCATTAAATTTTACACATCAGCTTCTTTCCTATCACACTACGCTGGAGGAATTCAAGAACGCAACAATCTCCGGTCATTTTGGAGTTGCGTTTGAGGAAAACTCGAAGAGGGAAATCACATTTAATGTCTGTTGTTTTCGGATTGTTAAAAAAGTCGTTTTGGGTACCGAAAAAAAGTCAGCTATCATTTTCGGAAAGGCGATAGGACCTAAGGTTTTCGGGAAATGGACAAAAAAGCCCTAATGGCCCTAATAAATTCGACAATACTCAAGTTCCCCTAGAATAACCGAACAGATGAAATGCATTTAGCGCCACCTAAAATTAACCTACAGAGCTTTAAAAGTACTCCAGATAGCCTAAAACAGCGTTTAAAAGCATTTGAAAGGAAACGGTCGTTGGGTGCCCCTGATATTAAACACGAAGGGCGTGTTTGATCACATTTCCAAACACCGAGAAGAGAGTTGGGACGATTTTACAGGTGTTTGGAAGTGTGGCCAAACACTGTCTTGAGTGTTTGATATATCTTCTCAATGGAAACGAAAACTAACGAGAAAACGGAGAATAAAATCGTAAAAACCTATATTAATTAAGATCAGATATCCAAGGATCTTCACGGTCTTGATTTCCTTTGTTTAAACTCTATGAATTTTTAATGAAGTTGAGAAGTTTGGTGTTGCTATCCCGCCAAATGCAGTACTTCTAACTTTTTTTTACTACACTAATTAGACAATTTCCAAGCCTTTGATCGGTTATACTATGTTAAACTGGACTTTAGACCATATTCGTATTCTCGGTTTTGGACTGGAACTAGCTTGGAATGGAGGCTCATGCGGGGAATAGATCAATTTCGATATATTAAAATTCAACCTAACACAATAGACCTCAGCACGAGGCTCTGGGGAATAAACCCAACAAACTCTGTAGTTATTCCCCAGAGCCTCGAGCTTAGGTCTATTGTTTAAGGATGAATTTTAAAGAGATAAATTCCATTTGTATTTAAAAATACTCCCCGCATTAGCCTCAGTTGCAAGCAAGTTCCAGTTCAATATCGTGAAAACGAATATGGTCTAAATTGGCTAGGGTTCTTTTCTCTCGAAAAGTTATTGATAAATTCAACCCGCTCAGAATACGATCGCCTCCTCCAATTCCTCACTAAAGGAGGATAAGGAACGGTCATCAATCGTCGCCGACCGATTGCCATGAAAGACAAGGTCTGCAACGTGCATCGCGCTCTGAGGTGACCGCTTCGCATCGTCATCACGGTTGATGGTGTTGTCTTTGTAAGGGTGCAAAGACGGGACGCGTACTATAGAAATGATCCTAGTAAGTACGGTCTTAAAGCTCGAAAGGTAACCAGACGAACTCATTAAACCAAGATTTTTGACACATGTGGGACACAATGGCCACCGCGTTATGGGGTGCGAGTGGTATTATGGGACAGTTGACCTGTTTCCCGCTCTGCAATAGCGTCCTGGGACGAACCGGCCTTATCCGCCTTATCTAACCCTGAAGTGCAAACAAAGCCCGCTCTACAGTGAAATTTCGACTGTGTAAATGAATCTTTCTCTACTATTCGAGTAAATAGTGCCGCGTAAATATAATACACCTTCCAATCGCAGGCTACAGTTCTTCTTTATTTTAGGGCTATAAAAACAATAAAGACTCTTTTATTGAAATATAACTAATAAATAAATAAAAAAAAAACTTAAACTTCTGCCGATTAACACTTATCGGAGATCATAAACCTAGGTTGTTCTCTCACTAAGGTGATTCTTCAGAAATAAAAGTTGTTTTGTTTTGAAATTTTCACTAAATGTTCCCTACCAAGCAGTGTTTCAAAAAATACATCTAAAATATAGGTCACCATGCTCCTTTAAGGGAAAACTAGCACTTATTTCGTTGTCGAGCTTAGTTTGAAGGAACTGTCTCTGGATGTTGATGTGCGCGGGCTCGTGTGCGCGCTATTAACGCGAAAATCGTGCACCCGCAGTAGGGATGAGCAATCCAATTCTGAGAAATCAACTTTTTAAGGGTTTTTCTACTGAGACTTTCACGTTAATGTTCAATTTTTTCAACGAACTGTTGGAAATTCCTGGCTACTGAATAAAAATCTCCTGGTTGTTACATCACTTTTAACAGAAGCTGAAAGTCTGAACGGAGTAAGGTTTTTCAGACTCATAACATAACTATTTCCATACCATGGGCATTGTAGTATATTCTTTGAGTTATATTTTTTTGTTGTTTTTAGTTGCCCAGGGCAATCATCGATAACACTTTATGCTGACGGGTTCACTCTGGTTAAATATATGTCATGATGAAGATGATGATGACGATGACTATTAATAGAGGATATTAAATGGCCGCGCAGAGATATGAAATTTCTCTTCTCTTGTTGAAAAAGTATTTCGGTCGTTCGTTGCGCTCACCCTGCTCACCCATGAAATATTTCTCATCACGAGAAGAGAAATTTCGTATCTTCAAAAGGCTAGAGTATTATTAGAAGCCAAGTTCTGAGCAAAATCAATTCAGTTTGATTCAATAGAAATGCTTTGCGCTGGAGGTCTACAAACTACTTAGCCCGGGTCTGGGTTTCTCGCAACCAGGGAGGGAAAAGCTAAAACGGCATGGGAACGAGGTTGTCATGGCAAAGAGGTTGAGTTCCTCTGAAAGCTCAACTTACTTACCGTTTATAGTCTATATTATTTAACGACGTTCATTCAGGATTTAACTTTTGTAAAGTTACTTCAGTAGTTTAACGACAATGACAGCAACAACGAAAGGATAAAAGAGTAGGAAGGCAGCTAAAGCAACAATTCCGGCAACTCGATAACGACTCGACATCAAGCCACTGACGTCCACACCTCCAAGAAATGTATTGCCCAGCCAGCCCGAGCTGCGAATGTTTCGCGACAGCTTTTCGGCGCTAAAACCAGTAGCGGTTGCCTTATTGATATTACTGTGAACCTGCTCCTCCAGGTCGCGCCAGTTGGAACAATACGCGAGGGCCTGGATGCAAAATTCCTTGGCAAACTCGACGCAGTCCTCCAGGAGAACGCTGTACCTGTGAGGAGCTGCTCTCAAGGCAACAAACTGCAGCGCATTCAGGCTGGTTTCCTTGAATCTGCCGATGAAAAAGCTGCGCCGAATTCTTCCCTTGACATCTTTAAACAACTGGCATTCCTTGCGTATCTTGTACGTACGCAGCTTTTCGTCTTCAATGCACAGCTCGAATTGCCAGCACAGACTAAGCCCGGGCACGTCGAAGGGAGATTGTATGACGTCAGAAAAATCGGCCAAATGGTTGGGATCTTCACCCGCCGGAACACACAAAACAAATCCGTGCCAAGCCTTGTTCACACAAATGAACAGATCCATGTCCATCATGTTACCAGTGGACGCTAGTTGTTTGATCCTCTCTTTGTCTTTCTTTTTGTAAGCGTCGACTAACCCAGCATCAAAATCAGACAAGGTATTGACATAATACGCCAAGGGATCCACGCTGCGCAACGAGCCTTCCACCATTTTCTATTCAATAAAACAGAATTTAATGTTTTGCGTTTCGTTCATTCTCTCACACCTGCTTTCCCCTTTTGCCTGAATAATCATTTTGCTGGGTAAAGTATGCAATACAATTCCCTCGTAGTACTTGAAATATGAAGACTAAGCACAAGTCATATCCCAGACGATTTCCAATGAAACCACCATGTTTTTTTGAATCGGCTCTATGTACTTCGAAACAAGACTTAACCTTGGAATAATTTTTGCGCAACGAGTGCAAAATGCATGCATGACCATGCTGTCGAGATAAGCCATCTCATTTAAGTAATGATTTCGTTTAAGATCTCTCTACCTATGACTCAGAATTCTTCACAGACTAAAAAGTCGGCAGCAAAAATTCATGGCGAGCATCATTGCTATCTTAATAGCTCCCAATTTCCATTGAAACGACGATGTCCCTAATGAAACCACTATGCGTGTTTACAACTGTCATTCGAAAGACGAATATTCAGTCTTGGAAAAATTTTGCTAAGCTAAAATTCTGACTTAGAGCAAAACACAACGCGACATTTGATTTTGAAGATCGTTCGTAGAACTTCAAATCGTCGTATTCGGTAAAATATACAGCGACAATCACTACTATCTTTACCTCTGAGCTGTAGTTCTCTTCAAATGTAACCCAAGATCTTTTGAAGTCCCAGATTATTGATGGTCAAGGTTGTAGTGTCCAGCGACAAGAGAAAGATAACAATCTTGTGGTCCGAGAAACCCAGGTTCGCGTGACACACTTATGTAAATGCCCGCGGTTTGTTTTGGTGAATGTCAGTTCTTGGAAACCCGGAAGTTGAATGTGAAATTGAAAATCGATTCACCTGTGAAGATATTTCATCCTTCAGTATTTGCCCCAAACCTGTTAAGAACAATCAGTGGTTATATATCTCCTTGTTTTCTTTAAGAAATGGCAAATCAATCAACTCTTATAGCTTCAAGTTGCGCATGCCATCACTCGCTGTTTCCAGACGTGTTTTGAGCCCGCGATCTTTCAATAGCGCGTTTTCACGTGACGTCATCACTCTCTAAAATCCAAAACTGACTCAAAACTAAAGAGCCACCAAAGCTTTTATCCTAATCAGGCATAAGAGGCGGTATATTTATATCTGTTTACAACTTTACAGCTCAATAGCGCGCTTCGTTTGAAAACCAGAGTATTTTAAATTTCAGGGTTTAATATGGAGGTGCGTGACACAATGCTACGATCGAGTTTCTTGAAAAATAAACACTTATCCCAAGATTTTGAGATTTTTTAGAAGTTAAAGCATTAGGAAAAGTGCTTCTGTAAAAGCTTGTTTGTTCAGTACTGGTAATCAGTCGCCCAGATAGCCAAAGTAAGTTCCAGATGTTTGCGCTATTTTCCGGCCACTACAATGGTGTACCACGATGTACACCAACATGGCGTTTTCATACTGGGCTCTGTAATTTTCTCTGTAATTATCTGAAGTTTGAGGAATCGTACGGGCCTAAAACTTGGAGAAGTGTTTTATTTAGTTAACTCCTATAACATCACAATTTCTTAGCTTTTTCTACTGGATGGTTTCCGATTTTTTTTATTGCGTGACAGTGAGAACGTTTCATTGCTCTCACGACAGCTAAATCCGGCAAAAAACAAAACATACAAAACATTACAAAATAACTAACTAACTAAATAAAATACATTAAAAAAAACAGACAAATAAATAAACAGGGTGATGACAGACACCACAGTATAGGATGTTAAAACTCAAAAGAAAATAAAAATAGAAAACTGATAAGGTTGAAAAATGTAAAAAGGGTCATCTTTCACATTTTGGGAATAGCCCTTCTCAGTGTGAGAACTGTTAAAAAAAATCCGGCTCCACAGTATAGGCTTGATTTCCAGTCGTTTTGAGAGGAGTATGAAAGCCCCACTGCCAGAAATGGCTGAAATTTATAGAAAAAAAAAAAAAGAAATGTTGCATTTTTTCCCATGTTCCCCACTCATCCCGCCAAATTCTCGTTAATGGAAGAGAT